AAATATAGTATGTATTATGTGTATCATTTTTGTTATTTCTCAAAAATAAATTCCGTACCGAACGGATGTTTTTTATGGGTTTTATTATAGTATATATAATATTATTATACACGCGTTTATTATTATACCCGGGCGGGCTTTTATTTTAATATTTCAACCAGAAATGACACTACGCGTAATATCTGCGAGACGTTTTAAAACATTCTATTTTTTTTTCTCTTCATTTCGTTTCATTTGTCCAAAAAACTTTATAAATACCCAAGTTTTTCGCATTTAAACACGTTAAAACAGCGATTAAAACTTGAAAAATAATGGTATTAGTTGTTCGAGAAACGCGTAGAAAAATGACGGCCGACCGTATATATATACGCTAAAAAACGTATGAAACAATATTATTCTACTTTTTGTATTTTGTGTTTAATAAAGGAACATTTTCGTATAATTTCGTACACCAGTGATTTTATTGTTGTTTACGCAATTGTTTCGTATACGTTTAACGTTCATCTGGATTCACTAAATAGGAAAATATTTTTCAACATTTCAAAGTAAAATTATTATATGTTGAAACGAGTTAAACAAACGGAGTGGAATTTTTACGACGGTCGAGCAGTGAGATTATTAAGATCAAATATTCTCAGTTACGTGATGCCCTGGTGCAAGGATGACTACAATTATTTATTATACATATTTTACACCATACATTTTCACAATTCCACATACAGGTTGCGTATTTAATACAATAGTTAAAAAGTGGAAAGTCGAATTAATTTTAGCTTTTACGTCAGCTTTGAAACATTGATTTTTTATTAATTGAACTTATTTTTTTTATATAGGTTAACTGAAAACGTTTTTTTTAGCTATCCATCGCCTAAGCCTTATGAAATATTTATTTATATTTATATGGATACAATTGTTTAAGCCCAACAAAAATGCTCGGAAATTTAACAAGAGGTTTATACTTCGTAGCCCAAAAATGAAAAAAAGTTTATCGTACCTAATGTATTACATTTTTTTGTATAAACAGTTAAAGTTAAAATTTTACTGAACAACGTAAATGCATCACAGTATTTCGAAACATATTTAACCGAACTTCGCCCAGAATCAATTTTCGATAGTAATGATTATTATTTGTTAAGTATAAATATGAATTAAATTACTTCTTATGTATTCTACGTTCCTAACATTTGTTTTGTTTTTACCCAGTTAAACGTGTGGAATCTCGAGTTTGAATAATTAAAATTTCATATTATCGAGATTAACCCCGTATATTTAACCCTCTGTAACTTTGATCGAATTTATTTTCCAAAAATCACAAATAAGATTCAATCATTTTCACTATAATAATATCAATTTTACTAAAAATAGAAAAAACTTAAATTGACTACTGGGTTAAAATTTACAATTATCTTTTGCCTTAACCTAATATAAAAACTAAATTTTAACTTGTCATATTTTTTCAATTAACTTTACCGAATCACGACGGGCTGAATTTTGCTATTCCATTATATTAAAATTATTTCGTAAATAAATAATATTCATCAAAATGATTTTGTTTACATGGTGTAAAAACTAATCCTTTTTGTATTTGTAGACGAAGTGAAACTCAAATAAGGGCCAAAACTATTAATTTACACCGATCCTACTCTGAGCAAATTTCTTTTAATACAAAATGATTAAGCCATTATACTAAACAAATATAACGTAACTGGTCTGCGAATTCGATGCTCGGATTTTCAATAACCTTGTACACCAGTATTTTGTAACATTTGGTTTTTATTAAAAAATAAATTTCATTGCAAATATAAAAAAAAAAACCTAGGTGATATGAATCGTCGTTAAAATATTTCAAAAACGCCTCATAGCAGTCATATTGTTGTGCAATTTTAAAATGTTACGATTTTTTATTTTGGTCAATATCAGTATATTAATTTACTGATAAACTTAGTCGCGCTGTATCACGCCATTTTAAAAATGTATAGCATATGAAAAAAACATATACTCACGCACAAAAAGGATTTTTTATTACTCTACTTACTGTAAATTGAGGGGCTGGGTGCATGAAAGGCATTCTCACGAGAATTCCCATTTTGCTTGAAATATTTTTTTGAACTCAGCGATCTCTATACTATATGTGTATACGATTTTATTTCGAAATTTTAATAATAGAGCACTGTAGAAGCGTTTATGTGATTGTGTGTAAATGCATTTCTTGCATAAAAACACATACTAATTACGTACGTTATATTTATAAATAATATCGTTTTATTTTTCAACGATTTAAAAATAATATTATGACAGATAACTTTGTTATTTTTCATTGTAGATTTATAGGTATGGTAAAACCCGTTTCTAAATAAAGCTAAGCATAAACGAATTAAGATAATATTCAAAATTAAAAGTAATAAAACATAATATTTATATTTGTAATCTTATTTGTATTCTTATAATTATTATTATTATTTATTTGTTTATTTATTATTATGTTTATATTCTTTAAAAGTTATGAATAAATTAATAAAAATTCAAGTTCTTTAATCGTTTAAATTGAAATAGAATAAGTTATTATTGTTTGAATTAAGGACATTTTCTTGACAAAATATCCCTTTTATTTAAAACTGATTGGACACAAAAAAAACAAAACAAAGACATAATTATTTTCTTAAAGATTCGATTTTTCATATGACATAAATTGTATAACCTTATGAGCAGATCAAAAAGAGTGTCACACATTTGAAACTTTAACTTTGTTTATCTCAAAACACGTTTTTTCTAGAAAATTACCTTTTTGCACCCAGTCCCTCAATTAACCGAAATAATGTATGGGGACTATGCCACCGGTGAAATCGTATAAATCAATAAGGCTGGGTATTAACAAATAAAACAGTTAACAGTTAAGTTAAATTTTAACTTAAATTTTGACCTTTTATTTTTAGAGTATCTCCATCCACATGACCTTACCTGGTTAGTCAAAAGAAAAACAATTTTAGCCGTAGTAGACACGTTGTTATATTTGTTGGTATAAAATTATAAGGACGTATGTTATTAAACTCAATTTAGATTTCCTCCACCCAATATTTTTGTAGATGCGGTCTTGATCATGTTAATTCAATTTCAGTTTTTTTTTTGTTTTTCAACATAGTGTTTATTTACAATTCATACACAAAGTAATATGTAATAATATAGATAATATCAGGTTATAATATTAAAATTATTTTTTTTTTTTTTTTTGTTTACTCAATAATGTTTAGGAAGATCCGAATTTAAAAATAAAAAAAGTATAATATATATTCTCGGAAAAAAACCTTCTGCGTTTAAAATTATTATTTTCATAAAATCTTATACTTAAGATTTAATTATTTTCACTATGACAATATTTCTGTGTCATAAGCAGCATTTACAAAAATTTAAATTATGGGAAAATGGGTTTTTTTATTTTTTAAGTTTTTTGTTTATTAATTCAATAATATTTTGATCATTATTTAGTATAGTAGTTTTATTTACCTCAGAAATCATGCTGGATAATTTTATTTTTCTAAGCAAATTATTATTATACCTTCTCCAGCCACGATCTCGTTTCACGAATTACTTAGTTATGAAACACGTATGTGATTTCAAAAAGTCTTAATACATAAACGGTCTTTTTAGCGTTTTAATTTAGTAAAATGAAACCGTAGAGACATGACGTGTTACTATCGTAGCTATAATCAGTGCCAGCGAGACGGACCACGACAGGTTTGTAAATTATCGAGTACCAGTTGTCTGTTTTTACAAACCGAGAGCTCAATCCTTGTGTGAACCCGCCTTAATGTCGTCTGCGTTATACTGTTGGCCCATGACGTTTTTCGCGCTAACTGCGTCATAGGTTTTCTTTTTGATCCTATAAACGTGCGCATTATAGTAATTGTTAAATTAAAATTTATTATAATAATACTATAAACAAACAGCGTACAATTAGGGTGATATCGGTCGACCTAAAAATTAAATTTAATATAATTAAACGCATATTTCGTCGATTGCATAACACAATCACAACAATAACGACAACGTAATCATTGAAACAAGATTTCGAGATTTTCATCAGATACCTAAGTGTTATTTTTTACCACTTGGTACCTGATCTATGGTTTACAATAATATTATATCATGGATATCGTGTCGATAATATCTTTACGGAATTTACTGTAATATATGGGCGTATTCAAAGTTTTTTTTTTTTAATACGGTGTAGATCGTCCAAGTTTATCTTCGGTCGTGGGTAAGTGGGACATTATTAGACACTTGAAAATCAGAAAGTAAAAAGAGCCGTAATACTTTATAATATGAGTGTACAGTGTTTTATGCTTCCCGCATAAAGTACGTTGTAAAATATAGCTGAGATATTTAGGCAAATTCAATTCATATCTGTACGCAACAATAAATAATTAAAACGATTAAACATGTTTTGATAAATATTAAAATATTTTACACTTTACATTGACCATTTGTTGAGGTCAAAAAATTGTATTTTCATATAAATCGATTATAAATAATACACACAATTTTATAATTATTTTTAAATTCTTTAATTTTAATTTTTTTCATTCAATTGCCTTGAAATTTTAGATTCTGAGAAATGTGAGAAATGGTAATTGGTAAACATATCTGAATCTATAATATCCGAGGAAAAAATATCAAAGTATAAATGTATAATAATTAATAAACAATCATGTTGTTATTTATATACATTCAAAGTAATTCTTTACTACTCAGTTACAATTTAGTTTTTAATACAATATTTAAAAATCTCATTCGTCAGTAAAATTATCAAAACAATGTATTAAATATATATATATGGATATGTATATGAATAACAACATGATTTTTTATTCATTATTATACATTTAAATTTTTATATTTTTTTCTAGTATATATTTTCTTTCTTTATGTTTTTTTCCTCGGATATTATAGATCCGGATATTTTACCTAGATTTATGAGAAATATATTCCTCGGTGTTTATGTAGGTTTACAATAATATTTATTTAATTATTTTTTTTTTTACCGTACACAAAAATTCTAGAGGAAATCATGCTCTGATTTTCAATTTAGCACTTTCTTTTGATTTTTCAAGCTGGTAGAAAATTTGTGCATAGAAAAAAAAACGTGATATTTTAGTTATATATTTCGTACATATTAGAGTTTTTTAAATTTGTTGAGAAAACTCCTGAGAAAATTGAAAAATTACCTCCTTAAAGTACCTCCCCACACCGATTTCTTTTCAGAATAGTTGCTACATTAAAAAATCTGAGTTAGTCTTTCTAAAACTATATATATTTTTTAACTATATATATATTCACTCCACTCAGAATCTAAAAACAATACTGTTAAATAAGCTCCGCTCAGAATCGTTTTTTGTTAACAATCTCCAATACTGGTCCATCCATCGTGCGAAGTATAGGTCTTTTTATATTTATACTAGTATGATGTTAACCTATAGGTGTTGAAAATAAATGTCAAATATTTGAATTCACGAGCTCAATTATTTTTTGTAAATTTTGGGTATGATAAGTCAATCACTTTATGTTCCTCAAAGGGATTGAAATCCGTAAAAAGGCTGTAGTTTTTAAGTTAAATTTTTGAATTTTGAACAGGTTCTACATCGTGTACATCAGAGTTAGCTGTCTGGTAGAAAAAATGTTCACATAAAAAAAAAAATATCTCTGTAAAACCATAAGCTTCTTCGCTCCACTTAGAATCTAAAATACTTATTTTATGAACATATTTGGGATTTAGTTTCCTTCGTTTTCTTAAATGCGTATAAAGCTATTGATTTATTACAATCGCACTCTTGTGTATTTATTACGTTTAATTAAGATGAACGTTTAATTTGACATGGTACATTCACATCTATTCAAGTTATGTTAATGTTATATCGTATGTAATATATATATATATATACACATATATTTTTTTTATTTATTATAATTATTATGACAAAATTTGTTATTTTTTTATTTTTTTTTTTTTTTGTATTAATTTCAATCAATAATAATGTGACATTACTCACTTTTACATGTTAATAAGGAATTTATTTTTCCATTTTTGATAAAACATATGATATTATTATTGCCAATATTCCTATTATTACTAATTATAATATTATTTTTACGCCCTGTAATTTTAACGATATCACTCCCATTGTTATCAAATATGACATTATATTATTCTCAATATTAATATTATTAATAATATGGACATTTGTGCCCAGTATTCCATTTCTATATGGGACTCTTCTTCTTTTGATTTTGGCTTATTTTTGATTCAACTCAGATATTGGTAGCTATCTAGATATTCATTTTCGCTTTTATTTTCGCTTTCGTTTTCGTTTTCATTTTCACTTTCATTTTCGCTTTCATTTTCTTCTATTTCATCTAATCGATTCAGTTTTCTTTCTTTGACGGATTGTAATTCTTCAATTTTTCTCTGGGTTTCTGCCTGTATGTAATTTATTTTATTTTCTTCAATCTCATCTAATACCGCTATCTTTTTGTCCTCTTCTTCTTGAAACTTCTCTATTTTTCTTTTTGCTTTTTCCTTTTTGTTCTCTAGCTCTTGTCTCTTTATTTCCTTTTCTATTTCTAAATCCTCTCTCTTTTTTTCATATTTGTTCAATATATGAACTCTTTCATTTTCTTCAGCCTCAATGAGCGTCTCTATTTCTCTTTCCTCTTTTTCCTTGAATTCCTCTCTTTTTATTTCCACTTCTTCCTCTTCTTTCTCTAACTCCCTTCTCTCTATTTCATCTTTTATTCTTTGATATTTGTATTTTATATGATCTTTGTCATTTTCTTCGGCCTCATTTAACACCTCTATCTTTCTTTCCTCTTTTTCATTGAATTTTTCTCTTTTTCTTTCCACTTCTTCCGCTTCTTTCTCTAACTTCTCTCTTTCTGTTTCATTTTCTTTTTTTAACTCCCATATCTTATTTTGATATTTCCTCTGTAAGAGTGCTAATTCATTATATTCATTTTCATATAAAATAGCTTTTTCTCTATTTTCTTCTTTATCTAACGCCTCTATCTTTATTTCCTCTTCTTTCTCTTTTCTATATAACTCTTGTTTCTTTGTTTTACCATTTTCTTCTATCTCCTCTCTCATTCTTTGATATTTTTTTCGTAAGTGATTTATTTCATTGTCTTCGTCGTAATATAACATTCCTGTATCTTTTACCTCATCATTTTCTTCACTGTATCCTAATACCTCTCTCTTTTTATTATTTTTTTTATTCAACACTTTTTTCTCCTCTCTTTCTATTTCCTTTAATTCGTCCAACTTCTCTTTAGCATGTCCTTCTTCTTTATTTAATTTAACATTATTTAATTCTTCAGATAGACTCCGCCATTTAATAGTTTTATTTGAAGCGTCTTTCATTTCGTTTTCGATTTCACCATAAGGTACTGAAATGATTATGATAATATTATCAAGACATAATTAATTTAATATAATATGTCTATTTACCTATAGTTAGGTTTCCTTCATAGGTAATATTATATTTCCCATCAATCTCGAGTATTCTATTTGGTAACACGTTTATATAATGTCTGAAATAATAACAAAAATTAAATTAATTTCTAATTCTAATTTATATTGATAAACCACGCATATAGCAAATTTAACTACATAATAATAACATTAATAGTAATAATTTATTCAAAATAAGAATAAAACGAGCAGGAGCCCAATAGCAAATGCAAGTATAATTACCAAACGATACCGACGCGTATATTATATCATTTTAAAAACTATATGTAATTATTAAAGGTGTTAATTTCCTGGAATTTTTTTTAGATTCTGTGTGTAGTGAGATTAGTTTTACTATGATGTCATTTTTTTTTTTTAGATTTAGTGTAAATTTTATTCTATCGGTTCTATTCTGTCAATTTTTGAGCTATCTAAAGAAAAGTATTTAAAATTTTCACGTTTACATTTGATTTTATGCAGATAACAATTTATGAGCCGCTCAAAAATACTTGTATATTACGAGGTAGGAAATTGTATTATTTATATCTGTAAGCAACGATAAACCATTACTAACATAAAAAAATGGTTTTGAGCGATGTTTATACATATTCTGAAAGCCGTAATTTTTAAAATTTTCATCGAAATTTAAACACAAAACTCTTATAAGAAAATAAACCTCTATATTACACGGTATTTTAACCTTAATTTAAATTTTCAAGCATTTGCTTAATAAAACTATTTTTTTAGGAAACTTTTTTAACATCCTTTTAAAAAATGCATAATATACGGCATGGCAATACTTAATTTAAAACCCATAGAAAAATAACGATACGTCGGTTTTGAACAAAATACAACTAATAGCACATAGATATCTAATTTTGAACTCATATCACTGATAAGGGGAATGGAACCATAGAAATTCAGGCGACATAATCTCAAAACTGAACTTTTAAATTTGAACACACGGCATTGCGCTTGAAACTTGGTCTGACGCAGTCAGCTAGTGACAGTGTATCTTTATTTGAACCGATTTACAAGGTTTTCTCATCCTGCTATCTCTGTTTTCTCCTAAGATGAATATTTAACCACTGGTCGCCGTACAGCCATCTGCGTCGCCGACGGAAAATATCATGTAGTAGGAATTGATTATTTTTTTTTGAATAATATTAAGTTTTACTAGGCGGTGATCAAAAAAAATGTTTTATCACCAAAAATATTTTATAGAAAATACTAACCGACTCGGTTTACATTTATTCTTGAATAAATATAATATAACAAAAAAAAAAAAAAAAACATAATTTCCTAATATATTGTAATTTTCTATTTAAGAACATCCTACCTATTTAAATAAATACAAATTCAGTGAAAACTCTTTGTAGGGAAACTTAAAGGACCAAGGGGTTTCTTTTATTCTTGGAGTTTTCGCAATAGAAAAGGTATTGTTGAAAGTATACTATACATACATCCATAAAATATATATTTGACTTCCTGTTTTCTGAATTCACTGTACTAATTGTATACAATTTTTTTTTAAATATGAACCACTAATTATTTTATCCACTAGCCGTCACTGGAACTAAGTAAGTTCGATTTTCTTCTCAGTAATGAGGTTATATTTTAAGTTAGCATTTCTAGGTCCGATCACACTAATGCTTCGGAAAAACAAAGATAAAGCCCACACGATACTGAAGTCATAAAAAAATCCGACAAAAACCTAATCGTAAAAAATGTGCCAAGTTCTAGAATCTTTCCCAAAAGAAGTGACACAATATCTAAATTGTGGCCAAGTTTGTTTTATGACCCATACAGAAACTGGCTAAATATTAAGCAATATAAATAAAAGAGCAGTATTCATGGTCTTAAAAGATAAAGCCGGGAAATTGGGATATTAAATGCGGTCGCAAAGAGAGGCAGTTTTAGTACTTGTTTTACCGGGTATCGCAATAGCGTAACGAGCGTAACTTTGCGTATTTTAAAGTTTGGTTGAAAAGCTATAATTATAATTATAATAAATAATTATATTGTTGTTTAATTACAGATACGAAATGTAAAAATATCAATAAATTTAAAAAAAAAATCATATATTTTTGACATCATTAAACATTTGAACATAACCGTATTAAACCGTTCGGTTTCAATTTCTCTCTGACAAAAAGAGGTAAAAAGTGAACTAAAACATTTTCTCTAAGCATTCGCAAAAAAAAAAAAAAACTGAAGAAATACACCGATTTTCGGTCTTAACTTCCAAAACCATGACAATGTTGCTCATAAAAGTAGGAGTAAAATTAGGTTATGAATTAAAGAAAGAACAAACTTGGTCACAATGTAAATATAACTACTTAGATTTATTCACTTTTCTCAGGAGGAACTGGAATTTGGTCATTGTTTTAAGGTTTGGTTTTTTAAAGTAAACTAAATTGTACTCTACATCCTGCCTTACCAATTTTTCACTTATAATAGGTCGATATTGGATCATTTAAATTTCTGTTGCTTACCTAACTAATAATTTATTATAATATTCCATTAGGCAAGTATCTACTTATATCATATCATAGGTATACTACCTATCTACAATTTTAAGATGAATTTACACATTAAGTAGGTATACTGTTTTAAAAATATTGATACACACAATTTCTTGACTTTCATTATTGAAATAATAACACTGATATATTATAATTATACATAATTAAAAATATTAATATTTTTGTTTTTTACTTACGATGAGACAAATGATGCCAATCCAATAATAACAAGGTATGCAATAATACTATTGTAATGTATAGTATGCATTCTTAACATTTATCCCGTGTCTAGTAAAAAATTAGTTTCATAAAATAAAATTTTTTTTTTTTTTTGTGTTTTTATTGTTAGATTTAATAACCTATTTGATTATTGTATTCTCTGTACAAATTTTAAATGTATATTTTTTGTTTTACTATTTTGAGTAATAATAAAAAAAAAGTATAGTTAGATCAATAATCTTCGAACGACTTTCCATTAAATTTCAAATAACGAACACATATTTTTTGTTTTGTTTTGTTTTTTTTTTTTATTGAAAATAGAAAATGTTTAACTTGTATAGACAATATAATGCGTAAAAATAAAATATTAGAACAATGGACAACATAGAAGGTCGCAATCATTGACACTATATTAGTAGGGTAAAGAAAGACACGTTCGTTATAAATTTATGAACAACTTAATTATGCATCCAATTTTAGTAATTAGATTTAACTAATGTAATTATTTGATGAACAAGGAGTAAGAGAATCAGAATGTACGCATAATATTGGATTTTGTGACCTTTGATCCGTTTCTATTGCAGTTTAAAAGTCACTGAGAAAAGTGAGGTAATTTCGTGATAAGATATTAAATTTTCCGATAGTCTTTAGGTAATTTCGTGACTCATGAGCATGCTACTATCTCATATTTTGCTCGTAAATAACAAAAATTTAAACTTATCATTCAAATAACTTTTTGTTAAATAAGTACTATAAAAATGCAACTCTTTTCAAATTCATTTTACAATTTAGAGTAACCAAATTAATAAATATTCAAATATTAAGTTGATAAAAGTATAGATATTATCAGATTTTATAAGCTGAGAAAATGATTCTAACATTTTGATGTATTTATAAACATAGGTAGCTAGCTAGGTTCTTTTACTATAATTTAACATAAAACATTGTTATACATGTAAATTAATTTAATATGAAAATTATTTAAAACATTAAGAAAGGGCATAAGCTGCCTTAAGAAATCATTAATTATAAACGGTAATTAAAAATACAACAGATTATACCATTAAATCACACGTTTTCTAGGTTTATAATATTTAATAATAATACACTTATCTTTAACACAAGTCTGAACAAATACAATTAAAAAAAAAAAAAAAAAAAAAAACAATCGTATTGAGCACGTCCAAAATAACGGTAATAAATGTATAATCTGATAGTAAACAGTTAACAACTTAACGTACGACTTTACCATATACCAGTATACAACATGTATACCAATATGCAACATTATTTATACAAACATTTATATCATGAATTATATTGAATGTATGTCTACCGACGGTATAGAAATTCCACAACCGTAACAATAAATTTGACGCTTTATTTAGATGTTTACCGGAAAATGGGAATGTCCGTTAAAAACAAAAAAAAACTTATATTTGCTTTTGCTAGACTGGGTAAAACATTTAAAACGTTAAGGTCGTTTTTGAGCTATTTATAGACATTTTAATTTTGTAAATTGTTTAAATAATTTCTTAAAATCGAAACTCGAAAATCGTAAATATTACGGCCTTTCAAAACAAGTATAACCGAACACCGCTCAGAATCGTTTTTCGTTAGCAATTATTAACCGTTGCATTCAGATATGCATTGGATTCCTCTTTATATCTCATCTTCTCAACTTCTCACATACAACAGTGGCCGCAACCGTCCCCAGTATCAGCTCTTTTTTTTTTATTATTATGCCAATACTTAACGAACGGAATTGTTTTAAATTTTTGCGGCCACGCCGCCGTCGCCGCGTAAACTGTGTCACACGCCCACGCGAGACGAAAATACGGTGAGCAAAATAATAATATTCACGGTAATAATATCTTTACAGCAAAGCGGAGTGAGATACACGAATAAATACGAAAATTCGCCGTTTATTTCAATAAAATATCTGTTGCGTGCATTTTTATTAACAAACACGCACGCTGTTATAGTGTATATAATAATAATGTATATTATATATTTTTTATTCCTATCGATTTCCCCTCTCGCTGTAGCAGTCTGATAGCAAAAAAAAAACAATCGCTGTCGCCTCTCCGTTCACCCGTGCGAGTAAGTAAATCGCACAGTTCGCGATATTATACCAGTGTGCGCGAGGTAATAATATTGGAATACGCCGTGTACCCATATACCTATACGTACGAGTTTAATTTATATTTCCATTGCGTATTACGATGCGCATTTATGTGGGATGAATTCATTCATTCTGTGATGTGTTTTGTGCGTTCGTCTCAACCGTGTTCCTCAGTGTGTAAACGCCATCATTCTCAAACCGATCCGACGACCCACGGCCAACTTTGTGAAATCCGATTTCTCATACTGTTACAGTGGTCGCCGCTTATTGAACTCGCCGGCAATGGACTCATCCGCGTATTAACCTCTTTTAGACATGTACAAATTTTAATAACATTCTGCCGATTTTTGTGTCGTTGACATTGGCATTTTTGAGTCGTTTCATTTCAAAACATGTTTATTCGATTTTCGTCAGCAACGATTCACCGTTGCGTATAAATTAAATAGTTATATATATCCTAGTACCCTGTCTTCTCAACTTCTCGCAAGTAACGGCACACTGACCAGCAGTATCAGCTATTATTTTTTCAATGGGAGTGAGGGGTTGGTAGGGGCTTAATCTGTATTCCACATAAGTACATAAACAACTGTTGTATTTTTTATTGATCAAATATTTATTTTCGGTAATTCATACTCCGGCTAAATTTCGCAAAAAATAAAAAATAAAAAAATAAAATTTAAGTTATTATTTAATTGAATTTTATCTTTAGTTAATTAATTAATGGAAATAATCCACTTTCGGTGTTGTAGACCGATAACCTGTCTGATCTCGCAACACAAGGTCCGTTCCCATGAAGGCGAACATTTGGAAAACAATACCTTATTATATTAGACTATATAAACAACACTATAAATCGTCGCACGCGTTTCGACAACTGCAGTTCCTGGCTGCCGGAACTCACGTGCCCATAGACGCGTAAATGTGTTATTGCCGATATACGCGTAATTCCACATAGACCGAAGCTGACGTACGACGCATTTTACCGATGAGCCGTGACAATCTGTAAACGAAATTTACGACACGTGCTCGCGCGTATCTCGTGGTACACCGTGACGTTTGCGGTTTAGTCTATTATTATTACACACTCACTCTCTCACTCTCTCTCTCTCTCTCTCTCTCTCTTCTTCGCTCGATCGCACCAACATCATTATATTACATACACATGCATACGCGCGTAAAACCATTTTCGTTCGGCGAACCGCGTCAGTTTCGATGTCGCCCGTAGTAATATTTGAAATTCACTACTCGATACTTGTCCCTATTCGATCGTATCTATACAACTATTTTGTGACGTTTACGTAGATGTTTAGATAAAATATAATTGCACCGAAATCGTCTAGATGTAGATACAGATGATAAAATATTATTCGAAATAACTCATAAAAGATAAAACCGATAGCTGAAATCAATGGAATCGAAGACTGGGCAGACCATTTGTGGAGAGTGGAGGATAGAATAGTAAACCGGGTCACAATGCGGAAGCCAGATCAAAAAATACCAAGAAAACGGACATCAGAAGCTTCTATGAATCAGAGATCGAAAAACATTAGCGATGGATGAAGAAGTGTGGCGAGGAATAGTGAAAGCGGTAATGAGTCTTAAACAGCTTCGAATAAGCCAAGGAATAGAATAACTATTAAAAATAGTATGTTTAAGTCCGGATAAGTCTCAAAACTGGCTATACATCTCGTTAAGGTATGCGATTCGTACTCACAGTGTCATAAACTCCCGAGCATTGTTGTATTAAGAAAGTTCTAAAATATTTAGATAAAGATAAAAGATAATAACTTAATATCTAATTATCTAGAATAAAAAAATAATAAATACGTGCATGACAATTAAATCAACTAGATATAAAATTAAATGGTTAACAACTTTTGTATAAAAAAAAGATTATTTTTGTACCGTTACTTTTTCGGCTACAAGTACTTATACGCCTATCATAAAACTTTGAAATGAATATGAATATTTTTGACTCAATAAAATTTCAATTTTCCGAAAATATGGAGATGATTACCTTTATACAATCCCTTAAATACGAGATGCAGCACGGAAAACACTTTTACGGTTAGTAAAAACGGACAAAAATATTTACACGGCACCTACTCAAAAACGTGATACTAATAGGAAAATATCATTACAAAATATTACGTTACCCCGACAATACGTTTGCGTTATAACTAGAGTTTAAAGTGGAGAATCTTATTTTCGAGAGCGTCTCGTGGCATTTTTCGTCTATAAAGACAAAAATGTATAGCTGTTTAAAACAAAACAAAAACTAACAGTACAACATTTTTGTTTTTTTTTTTTTTTCGACAATATATTATTTAAGAAAAATAATTCACTCGAATTGCGGTTGAGATTTATAATATTATAATCCCATACTCTGATATCATAAATTATTATTACGATAAACGTACGGTCGTTTAAAACACTGCTATATAACATATGAGCATTAAACGATTAAATTCAAAATAATTATTTTTGTGGATTAGCCCGGGCCATTGTTTGGGTCGCACACAAAATATAATAATAAACTTTGACAGCGCAGGCAGTTTTTGGGGTCTTGCGCTAAGTCCACACAAAGTGCGAAAATCCCCGGCAATATTCTCATCGTCATCGTCACCGTGCCGCCGACAGCCAGCATTTGGCCATGGTTTTTGATGGACGTTAGTCCAGGGGTGGACTGAGTAAATATAGTTCACTTTCCTAGAGATACGGTGGCTCCGGGTAGGTTGCTTCTACTATTTTGACCAGGTTAAAAAAAAATGGATTATAAAAAAAAAATTATATACTTATTATACATATTTATCTAATATTCCCGTATACCCGTAGTTTCTCTCCAGTTTTCTCTAATATTTAAGAAAAATCCAAGAAAAATATGACTTTCTCAATAAACTAACTAAATAATATTTTCTATCAGAAACCACTACCGAAGTTGATGGCTACAGTATATTCTCTAGTAGATAATTCATAGGAAAACGTTATAATTACCAATACAAATGTTAGGTTAGGTTTGTTGTAACAAATGTACATCCCTAAGTACCATACCACTGACCCATAACCTAAATACGGAAAGCAACCCACTAGGATAGTAAATTATACAGTGTGATTTTTTTTACCATTAACCAGCAATTATCTCAGAGAATTATTTCCTACTCCTCCGGTCTAAACTTTAAACTGTTATAACTCATAAACAGTAAATCTGATATTAGGGATATGTTTATCAAAATTTCTAGAAAAATGTTCTCTGTTCGAATTTATGTTCAAAAAGGGGGGGATTGCTATTTGAATATCAAAGTATGTACTTATTTAAGGTATATGGAGTAAGAAGGAAAAAATTTAAATGCTTTTAAAATAAAGCTTAAACGATTCTATAATGATTAGAAAAAACAAAAATCAAAGTCACTTAAAATCCTCTGAGATAGTTGCTGGTCCATGATAAAAAAATCTCCCTGTATAACCAGTACGTCCCTGAACGTTACTGTAGACGGATGCGATGCATTCAGAAAATCGCGAAAAAGGGTTTTGGCGGTAGCTGTTACTTAACAAACAAAATTTACGACGTGTGCGTGTAAGTCAACGGTTCTTCCTCTGTTCCTGACACCTATATACGTATATTATATAGATAAGTATACAGATGTTCGTAATAAAACAGTTTCCGGTTGACCGAATGGCAATTCGCCGGATACAATTCCACGTCCGTTTGTACGCGAAACGCGAACTTGAAATTTATTTATAGCCCCGTACTACTCGTGTTTTCAGGGACGTCCGGAACGGGTTACCAAAATGCCAAGACTAGACAAGTTAAAAAATAATAATATCTCGGTTAACATATGTCGATTTACAACGAATTAAGAAGGAAAAATGTTAAAATTAGTTTATTAATTACAAAGTTTATTTTAAAATTTATCAAACGTATTGAGTTAAATTCAATTTATTTGTATGCATTTATTATTGCTATAGTAACAACCATCAAATCTAGAATTTGTGGTTTTCTTTTTTTCTAAAAATAACGATAAACAATACAAAACGAGTATAGATAATAATGGCTAATTCAAAAGTGACCCGGGGGAAATACGTAGTTTTCAATGGTCTCCTATTAAACCATTGGCAACGTCAGACGTTTGAAAAGAAAAACTCACAGAGCTATTCAAAAATCAAATGGTGGGCTATTGAAACAGTAAAACCTGAATTTCGAATTTTCGACTTTTACCGTTGTTTGTGCACAAACATATACCGAGATATCTCAAAAAGAATTTGGGAGGGTAACTATTAATAATACAAAACCTCTTATGCCATATTTATACTGTTTTGTACATAAATCAATTGGTTTATCAATAGTTTCATATCTATATGGATGTTAAATTATTTCATCATTGTCTAAATTTGTAAATTATGGTACTCATTATAAGCATTTTCAACAAAAAAATAAACATGATTTTCTAAAAAAAAAAAAAATAATAATAATTTAATAATAAAACGCTGACTGTTATATGCATAGCATTATTGGATATATTTTGGAAATATTAAAATCAAATAGAAAGTCTTTCGTGCGTTTAAACAAATAACATATTTGCCGATCGAAATTTAGTTTTCCAAAATATACTATAAAGTATCCCATTAAATATTCTTCGATTTACCGTGTAACTACTTTTGCGACGAGTGCTTTCAAACAAGATTTTGCAAATGCAAACAGGACACGAATCGTATTTTAAATTGAACTGTCAGATGTGGTAATCATTTCATTCGACGACGTATAGACGCCGTGAGTGATATTTTATTTTACCATCGAAAGTCGTGTTTTCGCTGAGAAATAGTATAAAATGTGGTACGCCAACAAAACGACTGACTTTTCTTTTCAAAGAAGTTCACATTTATATTTCTAATCGATTAACTAATTTAATCAAATTCAAATCAAAATTAGAATTACTACCTATTAAATGTAATTATGTACACGTAATAATTATCTGAAGTAAATTATTTCGTAAAACATAAAAAAAAAAAAAATTGTTCAGGATCACCGTGGATATTGAACTATCGATAACAGTTATACAATTTAAATAATTTAATATTTTAAAACATTTTAATAAGAGGAACAGGCATATCCAAACAATATACAAAATAAACAATAACAATTCAGTTCTTATTATTGAAAAACGGAATCCTTATAAGAACAATTATTACTGACTAATTATCACCGACTACCATTTTTCCAGGAGTAATACGCGTAAATCAATTAATAATAATAATAAAATCAATTTTACGAGTTGGATGCTCAACCGTTTGTAGTCGGTTAAAGACAGTGTGCAATAGTTATATTAGAATCGTATACTCGCCAAAATATTTCTAAACGCAAAACTAGATTGCACGTTTCGCCAACCCGTCTTAATGCCTACGACCAGACTGACCGTCGAATAGTCGCAACGTTATTTCTGGAATGCCCGTGAAAGTTGTTCGCGTCCGAAAAAAATACCGAGTATTGCACTTTCGCAAAACGGTATACAGTCATAAATCGCGTTTTATACAATCCAACCCGTAAGTATTTTAAAATGCAAAAGTACTTACATATTTTTTTCATATTTGGCCACCGCTTCATTTTATAATAGTTTTTCCATTTGGTAGAATACCAATTTCTAATGTTCTACAATCTTGTTTTGGGAGCATTTAATATTGCTTGTTTCAAAATTGCAATTTATGTTTTTGAAGATATGGCAAGTTCTATTATAATTATAAATAGTCATATAAAAATAAAATAAGCTACTTATTTGAACCAAACTGGGAAAACATTTAATAGGTAGTAAATACTTTATTTTATTACATTTTAAAAGTCCCCTAGCAAACACTCGCGGTAAGCAAAATACATAACATACGATTTTTGTCTGTTTTATTGAATACTAGCTGCCCCGTTCGCGTTGCCCGAGCCAATTTCCCCCCCTCCTCTTTTTTTTAACCCTTTAAAATTGTTTAACTATCCTTTTGAATACTGAAATCAATTAAAACAATTAAATTTACCGTATCTTCCTGTTTCCACTCCCACCCATATTATAACAGTTGACCGTAGTACATCTTATCCAATAATAATTAAATCCTGACAAAAAACACTCTATAAACAAGGTAGACTAACTTAACGTAGTCCACTTATTTCAATCAAGAAAGTTAAAATTGATTCGTTCGATTCCTTGTATATAGCTTGCAAGTAATTTTAGTTAGGTTAAGTTAGAGTAAATAGATTAAACTTAAATCATTATTTACTATTATAAGGACAATCACAAGATAAATTAACAAATAACACCGCCAATACATCAATTGGACAATACCAGGTGACTCTGCTCCAACCTAAACTTAAAAGTAGAATATCTCGTCAACGGCTTAACAAAAATCAAAAATTTCAACACTCAAATTTATTTCAACTAATACTCAATCTCTTTATGGATATTTTAATATAGGTTGCTATTTGAAAATCAAAAGTAGGTAATAGTTTTACCCACAAAAATAAAGGTGACAAAAAATAACATAAATACAAAATTGTAGAGCAGCTTGTTTCTTAAATGTTCTAGAAAACAAATTCCAATAAAAAGTTAATACTTTCCGAGATAATGAGTGTACCCACTTAAATGAATCATCCGGTATTTGCTACCAGAAATCACTCCTGAAGTTGATGATTGGAGCAAGATTTCAACTGATTTTTAGAAGAAAATGCAAACGCAAAAAAACACATCACATCATTTAAAATTTAACACACACCCCACTAGAATTCAACTGATTTTGTATCAAAAATAACAAAATCCCTGTATGAGTCACACTTTTGGGTTCGAACTTTGAAAACT